AATGTCATGAGTCAGGTTAGTTATAATGTCATGAGTCAGGTTAGTTATAATGTCATGAGTCAGGTTAGTTATAATGTCATGAGTCAGGTTAGTTATAATGTCATGAGTCAGGTTAGTTATAATGTCATGAGTCAGGTTAGTTATAATGTCATGAGTCAGGTTAGTTATGATGTCATGAGTCAGGTTAGTTATAATGTCATGAGTCAGGTTAGTTATAATGTCATGAGTCAGGTTAGTTATAATGCCATGAGTCAGGTTAGGTATAATGTCTTGAGTCAGGTTATACAGCATTGTCATGAGTAAAGTTAGTTAGCAATGTATTGAGTCAGGTTAGTTATAATGTCATAAGTCAGGTTAGTTATAATGTCATAAGTTAGGTTAGTTATTATGTCATAAGTTAGGTTAGTTATGATGTCATAAGTCAGGTTAGTTATAATGTCATAAGTCAGGTTAGTTATAATGTCATAAGTCAGGTTAGTTATAATGTCATAAGTCAGGTTAGTTATAATGTCATAAGTTAGGTTAGTTATAATGTCATAAGTCAGGTTAGTTATAATGTCATAAGTCAGGTTAGTTATAATGTCATAAGTCAGGTTAGTTATAATGTCATAAGTTAGGTTAGTCAGCATTGTCATGAGTCAGGTTAGTTAGCAATGTCTTAAGTCAGGTCAGTTAGCAATGCTATGAGTCAGGATAGTTAGTAATGCAATGAGTCAGATTAGTTAGCAATATAATGAGACAAGTTATTTAGTTATGTGATGAGTCGGGTTGGTTAGCAATGTCTTTAGTCAGGTTAGTTAAAAATATCAGATGTTAAGTTAGTTAGCAATGTCCTTAGTCGATTAGTCACAGCAATGTCATGGGTAATGTTATTAAGGACTATCATGAGTAAGGTAATTTAGTAATGTCACGAGGCAGGTAAGTAGGTATTGTCATGAGTCAGATTAGTTAGTTATGTTATGAGTCAGTCTAGTTAGCAAAATTATAAGTCAGATTAGTTAGCTATATCTTTAGACATGCTGGATAGCAATGGCATGAGTCAGGTTAGTTAGCAATGTCATGCGTCAGGTTAGTTGGCAAATGTCATGAGACAGGTTAGTTAGGAATGCCACGAGGCAGGTTAGTTAGCACTATCATAAGTCAGGATAATTAGCAATGGCATGAGACAGATCATAGAGCATTGTCATGAGCCAAGTTATTTAGCAATTTCATGAGTTAAATTAGTTAGCTATGGCATGAGTCAGGTTGGTTAGCAATGTCTTAATTCAGGTTATTTAGCAAGATCATGAGTCAGGTAATTTAGCAATGTAATGAGTGAGGTTAGTTAGCAATGTCACGATTCAGGTTAGCTGGCAATGTCTTTAGTCAGGTCTGTTATTAATTTCATGAGTTAAGTTAGTTAGCCATGTCATAAGTCAGGTTAATTAACAATGTCACGAGTCAGGTTATAGAGTATTTCCATTACTAAAGTTAGTCAGCAATGTCATGAGTTAGGTTAGTTAGCAATTTTATAAGAGAGTTTAGTTTGAAATTGCTTGAGTCAGGTGAGCTAGACATCTCATGAGTCAATTAGATAGCAATTTCATGAGTTAAGTTAGTTAGCAATACCATGAGTAAGGTTAGTCAGCAATATCATGAGTCATGTTAGTTAACAAATGTTCCATTAGTTTTGTATCTAACAAGTTGAGCAATAGTTTTGTATACTCCCAGCTAACAAATGTTCCATTAGTTTTGTATCTAACAAGTTGAGCAATAGTTTTGTATACTCCCAGCTAACAAATGTTCCATTAGTTTTGTATAGAACTGAACTAATATTTTGTCTTGACGAGCTGCAGCATTTATGTGGAATTTACCTCATGGGAATGTTGATTTTTTTTATCCAAAGAACAATCTGACTGGAATTACGACACATCATCGTCAGATGGTAAGTTGATGTGTCTTCAAATAGTCTCAACATATTGGTGATATCATTGGGGGATACTTTTATAGACATCCTTACTAGATGTTATATTGATATCATGACATCATAATTTTATAGATTTGATTAATGGCTAATGTGTTGATTTCATCTCTAGATAATAGGTAAGTGTATAGATGCAAAGACAGGATACGTTTATGGATAGCCTGACTGAATGAGCTGTCATGGAGACCATGATTAGAGAAGTTATGGACCTGACTGAATGAGCTGTCATGGAGACCATGATTAGAGACGTTATGAACCTGACTGAATGAGCTGTCATGGAGACCATGATTAGAGAAGTTATGGACCTGACTGAATGAGCTGTCATGGAGACCATGATTAGAGACGTTATGAACCTGACTGAATGAGCTGTCATGGAGACCATGATTAGAGAAGTTATGGACCTGACTGAATGAGCTGTCATGGAGACCATGATTAGAAAAGTTATGGACCTGACTGAATGAGCTGTCATGGAGACCATGATTAGAAAAGTTATGGACCTGACTGAATGAGCTGTCATGGAGACCGTGATTAGAGAAGTTATGAACCTGACTGAATGAGCTGTCATGGAGACCATGATTAGAGACGTTATGAACCTAAATGAATGAGCTGTCATGGAGACCATGATTAGAGAAGTTATGAACCTGACTGAATGAGCTGTCATGGAGACCATGATTAGAGAAGTTATGAACCTGACTGAATGAGCTGTCATAGAGACCGTGATTAGAGAAGTTATGAACCTGACTGAATGAGCTGTCATAGAGACCGTGATTAGAGAAGTTATGAACCTGACTGAATGAGCTGTCATGGAGACCGTGATTAGAGAAGTTATGAACCTGACTGAATGAGCTGTCATAGAGACCGTGATTAGAGAAGTTATGAACCTGACTGAATGAGCTGTCATGGAGACCATGATTAGAGAAGTTATGAACCTGACTGAATGAGCTGTCATAGAGACCGTGATTAGAGACGTTATGAACCTGACTGAATGAGCTGTCATAGAGACCGTGATTAGAGAAGTTATGAACCTGACTGAATGAGCTGTCATAGAGATCGTGATTAGAGAAGTTATGAACCTGACTGAATGAGCTATCATGGAGACCGTGATTAGAGAAGTTATTGTTGGATTGAATATTTGCATTGATATCAGGACAGGATTTACGCTTTCTCCTTCTGTTTAGTCTTTCTTTTAATTTGTTGCCCGGGAGGTGGATGCATTCGGGAATGGGTGGGAGTATAACTCAAGGGTGCCAGAGTCTCCTGAAGGAAACGTGTGCTTAAATTTTAAAGAATGGGTGAATGCAATTTGGTGCATACCTGGATTTAATTTTGCATCATTATCAACTTAATCGATGACCATCAGTGGACATTAGGGTTCCCTTGACATTAATGGGTTTATACAAATCCTTGAATTTTTGCTGACATCCGTCCGTCACAATGGGACGATAGTGTAGACTTCGCAGGACTAAATCCACAAGGCCTAGGATTTCTCTTGTTTAGGATTATAAGCTGGTTCCCACACATCAAATCGCTTCTCTCCACGCCACTGGATAACCCAGGGGAACATCATGTGTGGATAATACAGCTTGGCACCAGTGGCGTCGCTGGATTGGACGGAATGTTTCATTTTGCCAATTTTATCCGCCCATGGGACTCCATCTCCGGATTTGAATTCAGTTTCCTTCTCTTAGATGAGTTTCCATCTAAGGTTAACGAGTCCCACCCACCCAACTTTTAGTTAAGTCAAGTTTTTTTTTTAAATTTTAAAATACAAATTATTTAAATTATTATTTTTTTTAAACGAAGTGGCTATTCGTACCCAGGTACCAGAAGTGAGAGGTTGGGATTAAAAAACTATTTGAAATTTTATTGTTGGGTTTGTAAGAAAAAATAAGGTATCAAATGAAAGATAATTGAATGGGCTATATGTTTGTAAACGTAATTCTTCAGTTTAACTAAAATAAACTACCACAAATGACATCCGAATAGCACTGAGTCAAAATGGACCCAGACCCGCAGCGCCGCCATTCGCATCTGGGTACCATTAGACTCAAGCTTTCTCTTCCGGTACACGGGTACACATATTCGCAGCCTAATTTAAATGACGTTTGACTCCTAAAATAAAGGTGCAAGCAAATTATTAAGATAATGCGATACAAACAAACCATCTACCTATCCCTCTATCCCTCTATCCCTCTATCCCTCTATCCCTCTATCCCTCTATCCCTCTATCCCTCTATCCCTCTATCCCTCTATCCCTCTATCCCTCTATCCCTCTATCCCTCTATCCCTCTATCCCTCTATCTCTCTATCCACCTATCCATCTCTCTTTTCTATCTTGTTGGATATCATAATTCACGATATCACACTTTTGATTATCCTAATCCTGGTTATTACAATTCTGGATATCATAATGTTTGACGACACAATCCTGGATATTACAATTCTAACAACTCGTTGGTTGAGAAAAAGGTAGGGAAAGAGAGGGGGGGGGAGGTGTCCCTAACTTGTCTATTAAAACTTCCAATATAGCAACGGAAATGAAGTTTGGACTTCTGACATTGACAAGGTCATCACGGCTTTGTTTGAGCCAACGTCTGATTAGAAAAGTCTAGCTGACCCGGATGTTTCAAGATGTGCCTCACGTCTGTCATTTATTTTAGGATTTGCATTTTCAGCTGAATTTTATGCAGTTACGTCACTAGGGCTTGGTGGGAGGGGGGAAGTTGCTAAATCCGACACATGGGGAAATTGCTTTTTGCCCCAATAAAACCAGGGAAATCACCCGTTTGTACAGATCATCATCATTCTTAAAATATCAAAATTTCATCGTTTTAAAAATTAAGCACCCAGGCCATCCATATACATGCAGTGCGTACGCACTGAAGGGGTCTGGGGTTGTTGATTTTGGATATTTAGCGTAAACCCTTGCTTTTTGAGATTATAGTTTGATTTTATATGGTTATTATTTTAAAAATAAAAATAGAAAGTTTGTAGTGGTGTCAGCAGATAATATGTATACCTATTAATCTGAAGGCAAATTTATATCGATAAAACTATTATGTCTATTGCTAAAGATCTCTATCAATGGCATGTCTATTGTTACAGGTCCCTTTCATTGGTATGTCTAAAGTTACAGGTCCCTGTCATTGGCATGTGTATGTTACAGGTTCCTGTCATTGGTATGACTATTGTTACAGGCCCCTGACATTGGTATGTCTTTGTTACAAGTTCTTGTCATTGGTATGTCTATTGTTACAGGTCCCTGACATTGGTATGTCTATTGTTACAGGTCCCTGACATTGGTATGTCTATTGTTACATGTTCCTGTCATTGGTATGTCTTAAGTTACAGGTCCCTGTCATTGGTATGTCTATTGTTACAGGTTCCTGTCATTGGTATGTCTTAAGTTACAGGTCCCTGTCATTGGTATGCGTATGTTACAGGTCCCCGACATTGGTATGTCTATTGTTAAAGGTCACTGTCGTTGGTATGTCTATTGTTACAGGTCAATGTCGTTGGCATGTCTATAGTTAAAGGTCACTGCTATTGATATGTCTATTGTTACAGGTCACTGTCATTGATATGTCTATTGTTACAGGTCCTTGTCATTGATATGTCTATTGTTACAGGTCCCTGTCATTGGTATGAAAACTACCCTGCCTGTGGTGGATCAATGCAATCCCCAATAAATATCGATACAGGTGGAGCATGGTTTGACCCCGAGCTCAGACCAATGGATCTAGGCGACTACAGTCTTGTGGATCACGTGCAGATGACTCTGGTCAACAGAGGTGGTCATACAGGTAAGGCGATCATATTGGTATGAAGGTCATACAGGTAAGTCGGTCATACTGTACCAAGGTCATACTGGTAAGTCGATCATATTGGTATGAAGGTCATACAGGTAAGTCGGTCATACTGTACCAAGGTCATACAGGTAAGTCGGTCATACTGTACCAAGGTCATACAGGTAAGTCGGTCATACTGTACCAAGGCATACTGGTAAGTCGATCATATTGGTATGAAGGTCATACTGGTAAGTCGGTCATACTGTACCAAGGTCATATGGTAAGTCGGTCATACTGTACCAAGGTCATACAGGTAAGTCAGTCATACTGTACCAAGGTCATACTGGTAAGTCGGTCATACTGTACCAAGGTCATACAGGTAAGTCGGTCATACTGTACCAAGGTCATACAGGTAAGTCGGTCATACTGTACCAAGGTCATACAGGTAAGTCGGTCATACTGTACCAAGGTCATACTGGTAAGTCGGTCATACTGTACCAAGGTCATACAGGTAAGTCGGTCATACTGTACCAAGGTCATACAGGTAAGTCGGTCATACTGTACCAAGGCATACTGGTAAGTCGATCATATTGGTATGAAGGTCATACTGGTAAGTCGGTCATACTGTACCAAGGTCATATAGTAAGTCGGTCATACTGTACCAAGGTCATACTGTACCAAGGTCATATGGTAAGTCGATCATATTGGTAATTCTGTCATATTGGTAAAGTCGGTTATATTTGTATGAAGGTCATACTAGTAAGTTGGTCATATTGGTAAGTCGATCTTATTGGTAATTCTGTCATATTGGTAAAGTCGGTTATATTGGTATGAAGGTCATACTAGTAAGTTGTTCATATTGGTAGTCGATCATATTGGTAATTTTGTCATATTGGTAAAGTCGGTTATATTGGTATGAAGGTAAACTTTATTAAGTAAATAACCAATTGCTAAATGCAATATTCATGTAAACAACCAATTATAAATTGTAAAATTCTGCAAACTATAGAATTGTATCCATTTGTATTTGGCTGTTTGCAGAATTGTTAAACAACCTCATACAAAATGCAACCATTTCATATACAACTTATCACAACTAGTCATAATCTTGTATGTCTCCAAAAATGAGTTGTATGTGTGCCATCAAACCTTCCATTTACAACAGCTGAGATTTCCTATAGTGGCAAGGCTCTATACATCAGGGGCGGAGGCTTGTTGGGGGAGTACCAACTGGATCAGCTACACTTTCACTGGGGGCCAAGGTTTAGAAATGGCTCTGAGCACAAACTGGACTGGAGACATTACCCGATGGAGGTGAGGAGATGGAAATCATTGAAACATGTTTCGATATTAGATTCTTCATGTTTACTATTCTTATAGGATATTAGATGTGAGCAGTTAGTACAGCAGACATTCTTATAGGATATTAGATGTGAGCAGTTAGTACAGCAGACATTCTTATAGGATATTAGATGTGAGCAGTTAGTACAGCAGACATTCTTATAGGATATTAGATGTGAGCAGTTAGCACAGCAGACATTCTTATAGGATATTAGATGTGAGCAGTTAGTACAGCAGACATTCTTATAGGATATTAGATGTGAGCAGTTAGTACAGCAGACATTCTTATAGGATATTAGATGTGAGCAGTTAGTACAGCAGACATTCTTATAGGATATTAGATGTGAGCAGTTAGCACAGCAGACATTCTTACAGGATATTAGATGTGAGCAGTTAGTACAGCAGACATTCTTATAGGATATTAGATGTGAGCAGTTAGCACAGCAGCTATTCTTATAGGATATTAGATGTGAGCAGTTAGTACATCAGCTATTCTTATAGGATATTAGATGTGAGCAGTTAGCACAGCAGCTATTCTTTCACTCACCATTATCCTAACACCAAAACTGTAAAAATGTTTATCCTCAGCTCCACATCGTACATCATCAGAGAAAGAAGATGTCAGATGGAGTCGCTGCTGCGAAAGAGCCTAATGGCCTGGCTGTCTATGCTGTACTATTCAAGGTATAGAGTTTGAATGACTACAAAATAGAAATAAAAGGAACAAATTTTACTTTCTTTTTAATATGGGGCCATCCATATAGTACTTACGCACTGGGGCGGGGGGGGGGGGGGTTAGGGGGTAGATGTCGATTTTTAAAGATTTGACTTACGCATCCATATGGGAGGTTTTTTTTTTTGGGGGGGGGGTGTCCTTGGCAGAAAGTGCATACATATATTAACATTTTTTTTATAATAATCCTATTGGATCTCTGAAAGTTAAAAAATTAAACATTGAAATCTTTATCCTGTAAACACAGCCAATTTTTGACGGAATTATCGTCATAATTTTGTCATGTATTTTAACAAATGACCTCGCTATATATAGCTCAAATGATTACGCAGTAGTAGCAGTATTACAGAAATAGTCCACTGTATGTTCATCTGGCGTGTGACGTCCCCCTCCCGGCTACGCCAATGGTTCCTAAACTGTTGATATTCCCAGCGCCCATGCACAATTTAGGACCATTGGAAATAGGGAATAAAAAAACCTTAATATTGCAAAAAAATAATTTAAAAAATATTTAAAAAATATGTGTGTAGGTCGATAAGCGAGGTCATTCAGTAACTTCAACAGAAGTTACTTAAGTGTTTGCACGTAGATGTCTCAAGGGATTAAAGTGGAAATAAAATTATGAATAGTATGTATTATTTCGCGGCGCCGCTGTCAGTAAGACGAAGCAACACAGGTCAAAGTCATGTAGAGGAAAAGTTCACCTACTTGGCGAAGCCGGAGAATGGTGCCACTTAAATGTGGAAGAAAATGCGACCCGGGGCGGACAAGTGAATCGAAGATTTTTGACGCCCTTCGTCTTTCTCAAGTCTTTGGGATTTTATATTTAAATTTATCATTAATATCCTATCTAAAGACGAATTCCAAAAACATGATGTTGGGGCCTTGTGTGACTGCTCTCTTTGTCCAATCCACAAGACTGCCCTCTTTGTTCCATCCACAAGACTGCCCTCTTTGTTCCATCCACAAGACTTCCCTCTTTGTCCCATCCACAAGATTGCACTGTGTCAATTGTCTAAGATTGCACTGTGTCACTTGTCTAAGATTTCACTGTGTAAATTGTCTAAAACTGCACTGTGTCAATTGTCTAAGATTACACTGTTCCATTTTTTTTCGTTAAAATGACACATCATTCCAATTATGGCATTTCAAACTTTACAAAATTCATGTTGTCATAATACTAATCGTATGCATCTTTATATATTTTAAGACCTTTTAATCCTAAGATTCACATAACAGAAACATTTCAGATGAGTCTGTTACAATAAGATTACAACAAGATTACAACAAGATTACAATAAGATTACAACAAGATTACAACAAGATTACAACAAGTAGTTTGAAAAAAAAAAACTTTTTATTTCCATAATGATTTTCAGATGGTACCACATGATAATCCTAAACTGAACGAAATAATACGTCATTTGGATCAAATACAACTATCTGGTAAGTGGGTGTCACATTTGATCCAGTGAGTGGGTGTCACATTTAAGATGACACCAATAATTTCCCTAGAATTTTTATACTACTTTCCCCATAACATGACATTTACATGTTAAGTTGTATTAATTTTCAGGTGATCTGGTAAACAAGACATTATTGATTAGACAACGGTTCTAGCATTTTTAGGAATTTGATTAACAAGACTAATTTTAAGGATGTAAATTACAATGTCTATAAATTTGGGAACTATTTTTTGGAAAGCCACTATAACCTTTAAACAAATGGCTGTTAATATCAAACAGGGCTGTTTATGTCAAACAGGATGCAAGGTAGTTTTGCCATGCACACAGAGTATATAATATGAAGTACCGGTACAAATATAATATTGTTTGCTTTTTTAAATTTCCCCTTCATGGGCCCCACTTGAGCTCCATGGGGCCCGGAACAATGAACAGGCTGCCCCCCTTCTCCCCAGGCCTTTGTACTGGCTGCACCTTTTTCTACCCAGACCTTTGTACCGGCTGCAACATTTATCCCCAGGCCTTTGTACAGCTGCACCCTTTCTCCCCAGACCTTTGTACCGGCTGCACCATTTCACCCCGGGCCTTTGTACCAGCTGCACCCCTTCTTCCCAAGCTGTTTTGTATGTCATGAAGTATGAATTGCGCTTTTTGTACATCATGAAGTATAAATTGCACTTTTTGCAGGTAATGAGATTAAAATAGCATCATTTCCTCTGCTTGAAGTTCTACCTGCAACAGTTGCCCGACTTTTCTACAGATATGATGGAAGCTTGACTACTCCGCCTTGTTATGAATCTGTCATCTGGACTATTGCAGTGGACTTTATTGACATCTCAGAGGATCAGGTACAAAATGGTGTCAATAATTGCATTCAATCTCATAGATTAAGTCAACAATATCACTATCATCAGCTAGTTAGTCAGCCAGTCAGTCAGCTAGTTAGTCAGCCAGTCAGTCAGCTAGTTAGCCTTGAATAGTAATATGAAATCAAAACAAAGACATTTCAAATGATATTTCCTTTTTAAAAAGGTAATAATATTATTTTTTTAATGAATTTAGAAAACACCAAAAGTTTTAAAATTGATACTGATTATCCAACCTACTAAGTAGAAAACTAATATCTTTGTTCTTCACTGGTTATACTTTCTCTCTCTCTCTCTCTCTCTCTCTCTCTCTCTCTCTTTCTCTCTTTGTATTTGTATATTAATTAATTAATTTTTATGAGTGGTATAAGTTCACTCATCCAGTGACCTCTAAATCTAGAAAAAAATAATAATAAAAATATATATATAATAAGTTTTGAAAATAGATCCCCTCTCTCTCTTTCTCTCTGAAATATTACATTCACTGTAAGGGATCGAACCATTGCTCTTTGATGGCCCCGGCAAGTATGGAACAGGCCTGCCTCATCTGTTGGTGGCGTTTAAGACTCCACCATTGGTCGCCCTTTTGATTTGTTTGTGGCAAAGTTTTCTGGCAGTCGTACCCTGTTCCCATCCTCATGGAAGAGATCCTTAATCCAGGCCTTGACCCCCCCCCCCAAGTTGGGTCATTTGTCGTTAAGGTTGAGGCTGGGAAGAGCCTTATCTCTCAAGATAGTCAGCTCTGTCTTGTGGGGGGATCCCTGCGTGTCATAGGATCCATTGGAGGGTCACCATGCCTCCGCGAGACCGTATATGTCTCGTCCGAGCTCCAGTATTGCTTGCGCCATCTTCGTGTCCAAATAGCACCTCTTCACAATTTCGAGAGCACAGTGTGAGTCGGTGAACACTACGACGGACGGAATTGTTTTGCGTCTGGCTAGCCGTCGACGCACTTTTTTCAAGCCCATTAAAATAGCTTCGACTTCTGCGTCAGTTGCAGAGCTATTCGTGCCGCTTGGGCCTGACATCTCCTCTGGTGGAGGTACCCCCTTTGGATACTGTATTAGTGCGCCGTAGCCTGCCCGCTTCTCGCTCGCGAGATAGGAGCCGTCTGTGAAGACTGAGACCATGACGTCCTTATAAGCCTCTAGTGCTACCCCCTTTTGCACATGTAGGGGACTCGACTTGTTAACTGCCGTGTTTGACAGGGTCAGACGTACATCAGGTGGTTCGCCGCTATCCTGGGGTGATCTCTCCTGGATCAGACATTTGTCCCCCTGTTTCCTGGTAAAAGGTGCTTGTTCTTGAGTGAATCCACGCATCCATAAAGGAGGGTCTGTTAAGCCTTGTCCGCTTTATCCAGAGATCTTGTAATGGAAAACAGGGTTCCGTTCTTTCCATTCGACGGTATCGCTCTACGGTCGTTAGGATAGCTTTGTCCCTCCTGATGTGGAGTGGTTCTATGTCTGAGATAATTTCCACGGGCGACCGTGGGTGTGGTTCGTAACGCCCCGCATAAGAATTTGAGAGCTAGATTCTGTATCCGGTCCAGTCCCTCTAGAGCCGTAGGGCTCGTGAAGACTTGGACCGGGAGGCTCTAGTCAATGCCACCTCTTACACTCCCGAGGTAAAGGGTTCTCAGGAGTTTTATGTCAGCTACCCAGGAGGTGCTGGCAAGTTTTTTGATGAGGCTGAGTTTTGATGTGGCTCGAGCGCCGAGTTCCCGTACGTGGTGATGAATTTGGAGTTTCTTGTGGAGCTACGCTCCCAAAACCGTGGCTGATTTGTCCCATTTGAGCATTTTCACGCATATTTGGAGGTCAATTTTCTCCTTGAGAGCATTCTTTCCATTGGTAAATAACGAGGACACGGTCTCCTCCGCATTCACCACCAATCTCCATTTCCGAGCGCAATCCTGTATCTTGTCTGCAGCCGGCTCTTCAATTTCTGGATAGATTTGCCAGAGCTCCAGATCATCTGCAAACATTGTCTTTTTTTTTTTTTTTTTTTTTTTCAAAAAGTGACTGCAGGTCAAAGGTCATACACGTACGCTAGGAAAAGGGTGCAGCTCAAGGCCGACCCCTATGGGGGTCCATTCTCGGGGGCCCACATGTTTGAAACACTGTTGTAACCTGTGCATATTGGCTGTCTCTCTGAGCTGTTGTAACCTGTGCATATTGGCTGTCTCTCTGAGCTGTTGTAACCTGTGCATATTGGCTGTCTCTCTGAGCTGTTGTAACCTGTGCATATTGGCTGTCTCTCTGAGCTGTTGTAACCTGTGCATATTGGCTGTCTCTCTGAGCTGTTGTAACCTGTGCATATTGGCTGTCTCTCTGAGCTGTTGTAACCTGTGCATATTGGCTGTCTCTCTGAGCTGTTGTAACCTGTGCATAGTGGCTGTCTCTCTGAGCTGTTGTAACCTGTGCATATTGGCTGTCTCTCTGAGCTGTTGTAGCCTGTGCATATTGGCTGTCTCTCTGAGCTGTTGTAGCTTGTGCAGTAGACCCGCCCTCCAGACTTTCTCGTTAGCCTTCTGGCGGTCAAAGAAAAGCGCTATATTATGATTTCTCATCTGAAGCTCATTGGTAGTGCTTTGGATAAACTGGAATACCTGGTCCGTGGACTGCCTCCCCTTGCGGAAGCCGCATTGGTTGTTGGAATGCTCTTGCTTCATTCCAAGAACCAATATAGGAGCCAAAATGATCAATAAATTGATCGTGGGCCCTTAAGATATTGAAGAAGAAACAGTTTTGCGTTCCCCATTCGCTATGCTAATTTCCCGACACACGATGTGAGGAAGATTGGCCGGTAGCTAGACGGTTGGTCAGCGAGTTTGCCCTGTTTGAGAATTGGGACAATCACCGCTCTTTGCTACGCCTTTGACAAGACGCCTGTCGTCCAGGTTTTATTGCTCTAGTGATGCACTTTGTCCGGCCTTGCCCAAATGCTTGAGCATTTCATTACAGACTCTGTCGGGGCCTGAAACTTGACCTGTTTTGCACTTTCCTAGTGCTGTTTGCAACTCGGCCACTGTAAGACTTCCGTGGAAATTTTTCTGGTGTGGTCCAATTCGTTGGGCTGTGCGTCCAGCCTTTCGGAGTTTCTTGATGGCCCGGCTTTCGTCAGTGCCTCTTGCACTTTTGCTGACTCGAGCAAATTGTTTATTAAGTGCGTTGGCGCGCTTGGCACAGCTAGTCTGCGTTTTAAGGGGCAAATATTTCGCTGCTTCCCCATACTAGAGAGATTATCTAGAAATCGTCAGACCTTCCTTCCGTCCGAGAGGTTAAGTTTTTCACACGTGCCAACCCACTTGGACATTTTTGCTTTTTGGACTTCGGGACGAACTTGGGCCGCCAAGGAGTTGTACGCTGCTCGAGCTGCATGTGTTTTCTTCTTCGCAGACTTCCTACGTGCTTTCACTCTTCTCTCTACTAGCGCCTTCAGAGTTTCGTTCCAATACGGTCTGAAGGTTTGTCTTCCATTTGTTCTCGGAATTGCTTGCTTTGCCGCATCTAGAATCTTGCTTATGAGGAGCTCATACTCCACATTAAGGTCTACCGGCTCTGCTGCATGGGTCTCTGCCAATTTGGCTTCGACCTCTGTTGCGTCCTGCGCCCAGTTCGCTTTCCGAAAATGCCCATGCCTTTTCCGAAGGCGTGCCTTGGTGTTACTTAACAAAAGTCTGTGGAGGATCAGCTTATTGTCACTTCCAACCTCATCCAAGACTACCAGACTGAACCTGGTCTCGAGGTCCACTGAAATTAGCGTCAGTTCTGGCCAGGACTCCGTACTGTTGCCTTTATGTAATAGTGTGGGTACACTATTTTCGTCTTGATACCGGATGAGGTTAGTAGTGAGACCTCGTTCCTCCACGTAACGTTCGGATGCGCTACGGTCTACATAGCCGCAGTCCGGTGACTGGCCGTTAAAGTTAAAGTCCCCTGCTATAATGTTCCTCTGAAAATTTAGGCTACCGATGGGCAGACTGATTTTATTGCGGGGCGTATTGTAGACTCTAGTGATATCGAAGAACTGGTCGTTCTTAAACACTCCGATGGTGAGGGTTCCCAAGGCCTTGGAAAGACTTCCCCTCAAGCAGCTCCATCGTTAGGTCGTTTTAAACCTAACACACACTTCACTATTAAACTATTAAATTGCTAAAAGTGCCGTCATCTTCTGTCAGACTGCATCCATCACAACAGAAATTTCAACATTACTGTCAACTTCTTCAGGTATTATATGTATTATTTAAAAAATGTGTCACCACACATAAACTTTACCCCCTACCACTGCCCCTCCCCCCAACAAAATCGTGTCAGAACCAGTCTCACTTTTTAAGACTCCCTCCGGAGAGGGGCGTTCTTTGTGAACGACTCCTTATGTATTGAATCTATGTGAAAACTCAGTCAGTGAATGTCTTTAAATCTATATGAAGTATTGAAATCAAGCACAGTCAGTTAATGTTTTTAGATCTCTATGAAGTATTGCTAAACATCTCTTGTTAGATTGACACCAATTGTTCGTGTCTAATGAATCCATCTATTTTAAAACTTTTTCGCAGTCAAACACTTTTATAATTACCAAGCAAGGCCTAGATCCATCAATTGACATATAATCTATACCGGGTGATGTTGTCTAAGCCTATTGGTATTTGTAAAGCTCTTATTAGGAAACGGAAATGAAGACACCCCTGGTCTCAAGGAAGATTACAAACAATGGATTTCTTTTAATGAAATGCTTATCATTGCCATCTTCCCACTCTCCTCCAATTATTTCCTTAGATAAACAAGTTCCGTTCACTGGAAGGCAAGGAAGGTCAACAGTTGACTGATACTCACAGACCAATACAGAGGCTCAATGGACGGAAAGTGAGGACCACCGTGCACACCAAGTATATTTATGTTCCCTCTCATGCTGTTGGCACGCATGTTAACACTGGGTGTCTATTTCCTGTCATGCTGTTGGCACCCATGTTAACACTGGGTGTCTATTTCCTGTCATGCTGTTGGCACGCATGTTAACACAGTGTGTCTATTTCATCTCATGCTGCTAGAACTCATGTTAACACTGTGTTGCTGACTGGGAAAATTAAACTCATCAATTGTATGTAGCCAAAGTTAAATTTATAAGGAAACAGAGCTATGCAAGTTGAAATATAATTGAATGGAAATATGTACAATATTGTTATATTAAGACCAACTGATATTGAAAACACTATTTGATTTTGCAAGCTTTTTCAATCAAGCTTTTCCAGAAATGCCAATCCTTTATTATTGACGAAATCACTTTTTAACATAAAGGTGTACATCAATTTTAAAATGGTTTATAATAACTATTTAAATCCTTCGCTGGCTAAAAGTGCTGAAAAATATAAAAATATATTCATATATTTTTTTATTTCAGAACTAATTATTCGTCATTATTTATTTTCTCCATTATTTGTTTAGTTCCCTTATTCCTTGTTGTTCACATGCATGCAGTCAGTTGGAGTTCTTGTAGACTCATAGAATATACAACTGAATAAATTTCGTTTTTAAAAACCTTCTTTTTGTTGTACTTTTACATTCTAATTTATGTGCACAAGACCTCCTTTAATTGATTCGCTGACATAATCATAATCAAGCAACAGATAACTACGCTTGTGAAATGATTTGGAATCAGTAATCATTTATGGGAGTCGTACGTCATCACCAATTATTTTGAAGTTATCTGTTCATATCCTGGGAGATGCTATCTGGTTTGGTAAAGTTAACTGTTTCCTGTTGACATTTGTTGCCATAGTTTACATACATTGTATTTTATTTCACAACACGTTATAGAATTGTTCTTATTTATCCCCAAATTGTCTTTCATTCATTACTGCGTGTAAGCACCTAAATACTCGTTCTAGCCCCTACCTCAGATTAGCTCTCTCATCCCTCCCTCCACTACGACCCTACCTCAGGTTATCTCTCTTACCCTTCCCGCTCTCACGTCCATACCTCAGATTAGCTCTTTCTTTTCACTCCCCCACTCACACCCCTACCTCAGATTAGCTCTCTCATCCTTCCCACCAATTCGCCCCTACCTTAGAGTAGCTTTCTAATCCCTCCCTAAACCACGCTCCTACCTCAGATAAGCTCTCTTATCCCATTCTCCCCAACATCAAAATCGCCTTCTCTTCCCTCCCTCCACCACGCCCCTCACTCAGATTATCACTCTAATCCCTCCCTCCCCAACGCTCGTCCCCAGATTAGCTCTCTCATCCCACTCTCCCCTACCTCAGATTAGCTCTCTCATCCCACTCTCCCCTACCTCAGATTAGCTCTCTCATCCCACTCTCCCCTACCTCAGATTAGCTCTCTCAACCCACTCTCCCCTACCTCAGATGAGCTCTATCATCCCACTCTCCCCTACCTCAGATTAGCTCTCTCATCCCACTCTCCCCTACCTCAGATGAGCTCTCTCATCCCACTCTCCCCTACCTCAGATTAGCTCTCTCATCCCACTCTCCCCTACCTCAGATTAGCTCTCTCATCCCACCGTATTCAACGCCCCTACCTCAGCTTACCTCACTCATCCCTTCCTCATCTTAGATTAGCGCTTTCGAAGGGCATAATAAGAGCATAAGAAGAACATGAGAAAAGTATGAGAGGAGCATGAGAAGGGCATAGAAAAACATGTGAAGGGCATGAGAAAGGCATGAGGTAGGCATAATGAGGGCATGAGGAGGGCATAAGGAGGGCATGAGAATATCATTAGGAGAGCATAAGAAGGTCATGAGAAGAGCATGAGAAGAGCATAAGAAGAACATGGGGTAGGTATGAGGAGGGCATAAGGAGGGCATGAAAAGGGCATGAGGAGGGCATGATTAGGGCATTAGGAGGGGAAGAGATGAGCATGAGAAGAGCCTGAGAAGAGCATGAGAAGAGTATGAGAAGAGCATGAGAAGACCATGTGAAAAGAAAAAGTAGTGCATGAGATAGATATGAGGACATGTGAAGGGCATGAGATGGGCATGAGAAGAGCATGAGAAGAACATGAAGGGGGCATGAGAAGAGCATGAGAAGGGCATGAGAGGGCCACGAGAGGGCATGAGAAGGGCTTGGGAATTGTATGAGAAAGTCATGAGTAGGTCATAAGACTGCTATGAGAAGGGTTTGACAGCAGCATGAGTAGGGCATGAGTAGGGCATAAGGAGGGCATGAAGAGGGCATGAGGAGGGCTTGAGGAGGGCATTAGGAGGGGAAGAGAGGAGCATGAGAAGAGCATGACAAGAGCCTGAGAAGAGCATGAGAAGTGCATTAGAAGAACATAAGAAGACCATGGGAAAAGCATAGAAGTGCATGAGAAAGAAATGAGATGGACATAAGAAGGGCATGAGAAGAACATGAGAAGAGCATGAGAAAGGCATGAGAAGAGCATGAGAAGGCATGAGAAAGTCTGAGAAAGGCATAAGAAGGGCATCAGAAGGACATGAGAAGGGCATGAAAAGGGCATAGAAGGGCATGAGAAGGGCATAAGAAGAGCATACACTGGGCGTGAGACGGATATGAGAAGGGCATGAGATGGGCATAAGAAGAGCCTGCGCAGGGCATGAGAAATGCATGAGAAGATCATGCGAAGAGAATGGGAAAAGCATAGAAATGCATGATAAAGCATTAGAAGAGCAGGAAAATTAAATTATCTCATTTTAAATTATCTCATTTTGAATTATCTCATTTTGAATTATCTCATTTTGAATGATCTCATTTTGAATTAACTTATTTTGAATTATCTCAATTGGAATTATTTCATTTTGAACAATCTCATTTCTCATTATCTCATTTCTAATTATCTCATTTTTTGTTACCTCATTTTTTCATCATCTCATTTTTCGTTATCCCAATTTTCATTATTTCATCTAAATTAATTCTCATTTTAAATTATCTCATTTTTTATTATCTCATTTGGAATAATCTCATTTTGAATGATCTCATTTCTCATTATCTCATCTCATATTATCTCTTTTTATTATTTCATTTTTCATTATCTTATTTTCATTATTTCATTATAAATTATCTCATATTTTAATTACCTCATTTTGAAATATCTCATTTTGAATTATCTCATTTTTCATTATCTCATTTTTCTTTATCTCATCTCAACTGATTCTCATTTTGAATTCATTTTTCATTATTTCATTTTGAATGTTCTCATTTTGAATGATCTCATTTTGAATGATCTCATTTCTCATTATCTCATTTTATTTATCTCATTTTTCATTATTTCATTTTTCATTATCTCATATTGACTCATCTCACATTGAATTATCTCCTTTTGAATTATCTAATTTTTCATTTTCTCATTTTTCATTATCTTATTTTTCATGATCTCATTTTTCATGATCTCATTTTGAATGATCTCATTTTGAATTATCTCATTTTGAATTATCTCCTTTTGAATTATCTCATTTTGAATTATCTCCTTTTGAATTATCTCTTTTTGAATTATCTCATTTTGAATAATGTCTTTTTGAATAATTTCATTTTGAATTCTCTCAGCAATTGTCGTTGTTTTAAAAATTCTAGGTGTATCTATAAATATAATGGTGGGTATAGCTATAAACATAGACTTAGACTTAGACTTCTTAGACTTAGACTTCTTAGACTTAGACTTCTTAGACTTAGACTTCTTAGACTTAGACTTCTCAGACTTAGACTTAGACTTAGACTTAGACTAAGACTTAGACTTAGACTTAGACTTCTAAGACTTAGACTTAGACTTAGACTCAGACTTAGACTTAGACTTAGACTTAGACTTAGACTTAGACTTAGACTTCTTAGACTTCTTAGACTTAGCCTTAGACTTCTTAGACTTAGACTTCTTAGACTTAGACTTAGACTTAGACTTAGACTTAGACTTCTTAGACTTAGACTTAGACTTAGATTTAGACTTAGACTTAGAATTAGACTTAGACTTAGTATTAGACTTAGTATTAGACTTAGACATAGACTTAGACTTAGACTTATACTTAGACTAAGACTTACACTTAGACTTAGACTTAGACTTAGACTTAGACTTAGACGTAGACATACACTTAGACTTAGACTTAGACTTAGACTTAGACTTACTTAGACTTAGACTTAGACTTCTTAGACTTTTTAGACTTCTTAGACTTCTTAGACTTAGACTTAGACTTCTTAGACTTAGACTTCTTAGACTTAGACTTAGACTTAGTCTTAGACTTCTTAGACTTAGACTTAGACTTAGACTTCTTTGTTTTCTTCGACTTAGTCTTAGACTTAGACTTAGACTTAGAATTAGACTTAGACATAGACTTAGACTTAGACATAGACTTAGTATTAGACTTAGACTTAGACTTAGACTTAGACTTAGACTTAGAATTAGATTTAGACTTAGACTTAGACTTAGACTTAGACTTAGACTTAGACTTAGACTTAGACTTAGACTTCTTAGACTTAGACTTAGACTTAGACTTAGACTTCTTAGTTTTCTTAGACTTAGACTTAGACTTAGACTTAGACTAAGACCTAGACTTAGACTTAGACTTCTTAGACTTAGACTTAGACTTAGACTTAGACTTAGACTTTGACTTTGACTTTGACTCTGACTTTGACTTAGACTTAGACTTCTTAGACTTAGACTTAGACTTAGACTAAGACTTAGACTTAGACTTAGACCTAGACTAAGACTTAGACTTAGACTTAGACCTAGACTTAGACTTAGACTTAGACTTAGTCTTAGACTTAGACTTAGACTTAGACTTAAACTTAGACTTAGACTTAGATTTAGACTTAGACTTAGACTTAGACTTAGACTTCTTAGACTTTTTAGACTTCTTAGACTTCTTAGACTTAGACTTAGAATTCTTAGACTTAGACTTAGACTTAGACTTAGACTTTTACTTAGACTTCTTAGACTTAGACTTAGACTTAGACTAAGACTTACACTTCTTAGTTTTCTTCGACTTAGATTTAGACTTAGACTTAGACTTAGACTTAGACATAGACTTAGACTTAGACTTAGACAAAGACTTAGACTTAGACTTAAACTTAGACTTAGACTTAGACTTAGACTTAGACTTAGACTTAGACTTAGACTTAGACTTAGACTTAGACTAAGACTAAGACTTAGACTTAGACTTAGACTTAGACTTAGACTTAGACTTAGACTTAGACTTAGACTTAGACTTAGACTTAGACTTAGACTTTGACTTAGACTTAGACTTAGACTTAGACTTAGACTTAGACTTAGACTTAGACTTAGACTTAGACTTAGACTTAGACTAAGACTTAATCTTAGACTTAGACTTAGACTTAGACTTAGACTTAGACTTAGACTTAGACTTAGACTAAGACTTAATCTTAGA